CAAATAACATCTAACTGCTGGGGAGGAAACTCAGCCTCTGAAGCCGTTTAATACTCATCTGTTCCAACACTAACACTCCCAGCACTGACTTCAGGGCCCAAAAGATGCAAGACTAAAAATACTCACACCGAGGAACACCCTCACAGAAAGCAGAAAAAGGAGACGGCCTGAATCAAACAGTGTCTTTACATGCTTTACTCAGCTATGTTTGAACGGCTCTATTCAAACGGTTGAACATGATTTAAGTTTGAGATGATCAGTCGTCCACAGTTTGCTTCATCGTGTGTCTTCCTGAACCGTCATTATTCTGCACTTAGGAAAAAGAGGGTTTTGTCTTCCTTTCACTAATCACTGTTATTTTGGGCAGTGCTGAGCCCGGATCAGTAACTATATGCTCTTGAGAAATAGTCAGGATTGATTTTGTTTTGCTGAAACATTTTGTTTTCCTCAAGGCAAAGTGACCAATACCCACAAAAAAGAAAACGACCCCTTAAATATGAAAATACATTTATAGAAGACATACGCCTGAAGAAATAAAGGACCACATTTTCCAAAACTTGTCTGTGTAGGAGCTAGCTCAGCTCTAGTCTCAGCTTGTAAATAAACTGTCACACGATATGTTTGTGTGTAAAAATATGTCCTGCTGTTGTTGCTGTTGCTCTGTGTCTTCAGGGTGAAACCTGTAAAAAACTGTTTCTCCAGCATCATGTTCTGATGTGGTTTGTGGCTCTGAAGACTTACAGTCTACTTCTCACCTCTCTCGCTCGTACTGCAAACTATAGCTCTGGAAGAAACGTAGAAAAATGCAAACTGCAGTGAGTGCAGGCAGGCGTCATGGATGAGGATGTATTTTACACACGCTGCTTGCATCCTGGTGTAGGCATCGGCAATAATACCCTCAAAAACAAATTGTTGTCGCCAATTTCATGTGTGATGTGGTTTGTGTGTGTGGTTGGTTGTGTGGACGTTTTCTGCTGCAAACGTCACCTGCGCACCTGAGCATAGTTTAATTACACCACAGTAGGTAGAAAGGGAGACAGGTGAATGGGGAAGAATTAGGAAGCCACACAGTTTTTCAACCATAAGTGTGTGAAGATGTTGTCCGCCACGTTTAGACTTTATCTATGTTTATGAGCTAGTTTCGTCTGATGCAGAATTGGCCTACACCCGTCTTTTTGTTGGTGTTTTTAAGATTGTTGATAAATAAATACTGCAAACATAATTAACAGCAGACATTCCCTTTTTTACCCACCATGAGTGGCACTTTTTGTTGTTAGATTGCCACTACACAAATAAATAAAATAAAATAACTGTAACCTCCACCATAACTCATTATTTATTAAAACTGCAATATAATAATAATGAATAATGATAACAAAGTGCAATATTGAAACAAACAGTGCAATAATCTTGATAATGTGTGTATATATTCCATCTGACTCTTATTGATATCTTACTTACATTCCTATTCTATTTGATTAATATTTTTAATATTATATTTCTACTGCTATATTGTAGATTTTGATTCTGATTCTGAAAAAAGCGGTCTTATTTCTGCTGAGTCAGCTTGTCATACTTTTTTTTCTTTTTACATTTTTACATGTAACACCTAAAGTGGCCAGTAGGTGGCAGTATTATCTTAATTTTACGATAGTGTCAGGCATGCACTAGCTTTGAAGACATTTTTTTGGGCTGGAAATAAACAATGTACAGCCATGTTTGTTTTATTCATGTCCACCACATTGCTTCAGCTCTGTTTCCTGCTCTGCTACCAGTGTGTGTGTGTGTGTTGTGTGTGTGTGTGCGTGTGTGTGTGTGCGTGTGTGTGTGTGTGTGTGTGTGTGTGTGTGTGTGTGTGTGTGTGTGCATCAAAGTCTAGATATTTAAAAAGGTCAAAACTATTTCACTTCTTCAGTTTTCTTCTTATTTTCAGGATATTTATTTGTTTTGCTGAGATTCAAAGTATCCACCTGTTTAGTTCTTTCTAAGTTGATGAGGCTTCAGAAACCAGTGCATCACTTAAAATACTCTGCAAACGTCCCAACAGCCAAATTAACCAATCAGCAACGAGCAACACGGTCTCAGGAAAAGGGAGAGGATGCAGGAGAAGGCTTTAGGGGGCAGAGGGAGAGATGAGTGAGAGAGGGAAACCAAAAGATGAATGCAAAGATGTCATGGGTGAGGTTAGAGGGAGGGGGAGGGGGAGGGGAGGGGAGGGGGAGGTAAGGAGAGGGAGAGGGGGAAACACCAGAGTGTGAATGAGACGTCCTGATGAAACATTTTGTCTCTCTGGAAATCGCAACAGAGCTGAAAACGTGGAGCAAGACTGACATCTAGTGGAAGGAAAACTAACAGCAGCTAACCTGTATTTATTCCCCCTCACTCATCCTGTTTGATGTTCCACCTTGCTCCAGTGAGAGGTCATCCAGGTGTGCTCTGGTTTCTAAATTACACCTAATATATATATATATTTATCCAACAACCTAATTTTAAAGTTAGAGCTTAAATAAAATAATATGCAACTTGCAATTTATTTTTACATAATATCAGTTGGACACATTTTTCAGCATTCCTTTTTTCTTGAATGTCTGGATATCCTATCACAGCTGGCAGGTATCTTAACCTGTCTGGACATCAGTCCAGGTCAGGTAGTAATGTGTGCTGTGGGAAGAGCAGCATCTCTGTAAACTCCTGCCTGCAGTACCCTCATTTTACACGCTAGTTACATATTTCTCCTCTAATAGTTCTCACCATCATTTCAGAATCCTTTCATCTTTATTGATATTAACAAATCAGCAAACCGCAACAGCATCGGGGAAATTCAGTAAATCATCTCTGAAGGAAATAATAATGAGTCTCTCAGGATGCATTATAGTTGTTTTTTTTATTTGCACACCTTTTTATTCAAATATTGGTATTTCATACGACCACTTTAAAGTCCACTTCACTTTGCTGTTTCAAAGAAAGTCTGATTTTCTCCGGGTCTTTAATAAAACAGGAACATCATCGTGTGTTGGATTCAAAAATATGAAGCTCAAAATATAATCTAACCAGCCTAAAATCATTTCATCCAGAAAAGTCATATTTTACATTTAAGAGCAAATCTATAAACATGCAGGTTTTTCCAGAACACATTCACATAGTCCTGAGAGTATGCAGGTGTGTGTGTGTGTGTGTGTGTGTGTGTGTGTGTGTGTGTGTTTACAACGACTGAACTCCGATTAAAAAAAAAAGAACAGATATGTTTCATGTCAGCACGGTGTTAATCGCCCGCTCAGCAGCAGTTATTTGACTCCTTCGTCTGTTTGTCTCCTCCCAGCCACAGGGGGGCGCTGTTGATCTTGGCGCTCTGGGATCTGGCCTCTTTGGCGTCCCCCTGCATCCCCCCTCCCTCGCTGGCCACACGTTTGTGTATCTCAGAAGCCATGGTGAGGAAAGCCTTCTCCACGTTGTCGGCGCTCTTAGCACTCGTCTCCAGGAAGGGGATCTTCAGGGACGAGGCCAGGTCCTGGAGGGGGACACACCCAGAGGTGGACATGCTAATTAGCATGCTAACTTGTAGCATACTGGCTGCTTATTTACTGTTATTAGACCTTAAGATACATGACCATAGTCTATAGCTCATATGTCATTAATGAAGAGTTTTCCCCTCAGTAACTTCCTAATTACTGCTTATTGATGATAAGTTAAAGGCTTTATATGTGATTCTTTGATCCAGCAGATGTCACCCTTGAGCACCAGCATAAAACCGAAACAACTCGCGCTGCATTGTTGTGTTAGCATGCTAATGCTAGTGATCTTTATCACGCTGGTATCTTCACACTGCATGTAAATTTACCTGAAATGAGCGTGATCTAGAAACACAGTTAAGCAGTGAGTACAGTATGTTATTCTTCTTTTCTCTAGTCCCTCAATTAAACAACTTTTATACACGAGAGGGGAGGAGTCAGCCGGCCGTCCTGGCGATGTAAACAAAGTGAAGATAGGACTCTGAAAACTCTGAAAGCATCACAGACAGTGGGACTCGGGTGTTACACCCATTGTAGACAGTCATGACTCACAGAGTTATTTTCAGAGGATAAACTTGATTTCTACATTTAAGTGTGAAAAATCACAGATAAAGACTTTAACGAGTTGTTGACATGAAGTAGATCTTGCTTTCGCTTACTTCTGCTTCATAACGGCTCACCATCACAGAAAATGTGCGTTTGTTGTCAAGCAGAGGAACACTCTTAGAAACCAGAAGACCCAGGTCCACTGATAAGGTTCATCAATATCACCAGGTTAAGCACAAATATGACGACTAGGATCTACAGCCCGTTGTAGAGACAACTTCTGGTATGAGATGGATTTATTTATTTGTAATTTAAGCCTGACACATAACTCGGGGTCAATGAATTCCTGCAGCCGGTAAAGCTGCTAAACATGAGACAACGATGACACTGTTTACAGCCTTACATTACGTCTCAATCTGTTTTGAATCATCTCTGCAGGGAACGGACGGCGCCATGTTTTTCTTTTCATCCAATGCTGAGGGGGAGCTTGACTAATGTGTTGAGGTGCTATGAATAGTAAATTTTCATGAATTCAAAGTTATTCTTTAAGTTCTCTCTTCTTCTTTTTGTTTTCAAATAAAAGCAGACATATGTGAGGGGGCTTAACCGGGGCTATAGCGCCCCCTAGCCGTAGTGTAGCATCGTGCTTAGCAGGGATGCTACACTCTGCTTCGTTCCTTAAAGCTGTATGATCGTCTTGCAGGAGAACTGTGCCCCCCCCCCCTCCAAACTTACAAAGTGGGAGACCAGGGTGATCTGTGGACAGAGAGACGCTGTTGAAAGTTTTTGTACTAAGACTGACTTTGATACGACTACTTTAAGGTAGTCGAGGATAAAGGTTTGCGTGCATTCTGTATTCATTATACAGTGATCCAACAAGCTTTTAGCTTTTCACACTAAATGGAACCAGGCCCCGGATCTGAGTACGCTTGATCCCAAAGTCCGGTTCATTTGATCAGTGTGAACTCAAACGTACCGTACTCGGGTACAGTGAAGAGGCGGTCTCGGGAATGATTCATACTCGAGTGCGGTCCGTGTGAGATGTGAACGTAATCCCTGCTCAAACAAGGAAGTGGACCGCTATATGACGTCATCATTCTAAACGGCTCCTGACACTTCAAAAACCGTTAAAGTCTTCCATATATGGTCACTTCTGGTCAAGAAACAGACATCATAAAAGTCTAAGTTTTGTATACATCCTCTGCTCGAGCCTCGACCTGACGCCTCCCTCAGGACAAACTTCACCTTTTTATCATTCCATTCCCATGAAGCACTTGTTGTTATTGTTTTCTGCTGTTTCATGAGCGTGCTGAGAGATTGCTCTGTAGTGTTTGGAGGTTGTGCTGAGTGAGGCCTCGTTACCTGCCCGGTGGCGGCGTCCACCACTTTCTTACTGACGAGGTCCGTCTTGTTTCCCACCAGCAGCCTGGAGACATTTTCACAGGCGTAACGATCGATCTCGTCCAACCACTGCTTCACGTTGTTAAAGGACTCCTGGAGAGGAACGAGGAGAGGAGGAGGAGGAGGAGGAGGAGGAGGAGGAGGGGGGGAGTTAATGTTGAAACTCTCCTTCTTTGTTGATGATGTGGGTCTGTGTGTGACAGAAACACTGACCTGCTCTGTGACGTCGTAGACGATGATGATACCATGAGCTCCTCTGTAGTAGCTGGAGGTGATGGTTCGAAACCTCTCCTGACCTGCTGTGTCCCACTGATGGACACACACACACACACACACACACACACACACGCACAGAATAAGACCAATGAGCCCCGACTCTGCAGGAAACAACAAAATGCCCTCCATTGTCTCTCTCTCTCTCTCTCTTACGATCTGTAGCTTCACCGTCTTCCCGTCCATGTCGATGGTCCTGATCTTAAAGTCCACTCCGATGGTGGAGATGTAACTCTCAGTGTAAGTGTCATCCTGGGAGGGGGAGGGGGAGGGGAGGGGAGGGTGGGTTGTGACATATGAATAATAACAAAACAAAAGAGGTTTCATTTTTAATTTTCAAGTGAAAGAAGCAAAGTTTTATTCTGGAGTTTTATTTGATTTAACTTGTAAAAGCTTACAGCAAAGCGAAGCAGCAGACACGACTTCCCAACTCCAGAGTCTCCGATCAGAAGAAGTTTGAACAGGTAGTCACTGGAGGCACACACACACACGCGCGCACACACACACACACGCGCGCACACACACACACACACACACACACACACACACACACACACACACACACACACACACACACACACACACACACACACACACACACACACACACACACACACACACACACACACACACACACACACACACACACACACATAATAACCCATCCAATAATAAATTATCCTTAATTTACCTTTCATTAGTGAAACATTAAAGTTGACTCAGAGCAGTGAGGGTTTCTTCTTTCAAAGTTGTTATGTGACAACTGACATGACTCTAAGGACTACATTACCCATCATGCACAGGGGCCTAGTGATCCAACTCCAACTTCCTTAGTCTGGTTTATTTCTTTAGCATTACCCGTTCTCTTTTCTCTTTTTTTAAAACAGGACACCATGGTGCAGCGTTAACAAATCCAAAAAACACAAAAGAGCACAGAGCTGCAGATATTTATCGTCCAGGTCAAACACAAGTCACAGGGATGTTGTTACAGGGCGCTAAACTGTCCCCTAACTTTTGATGTGAGAAGTCACTGTTAGAGAGCAGGTTTCAGGGTCTTCCCGGGGGGTCGCTGCGTGACTTTAGGAACGACACAACACGATGAAGACAGCACACACAGGAAGAGAAACACACTTACTATTCAGGATTCATGATCGATGAAGTCGCTCCAGGTGTCGCAAGAAAACAAAAATTTGATCCTGAAGCCGGAAACAGTCAAATAATATGTTTCAGAGTGTGTGATGTTGTGAGCTGTTTGGTGTTTGTGTGTGTGGTGTGTGTGTGTGTGTGTGTGTGTGTGTGTGTGTGTGTGTGGGTCTGTCCTTTGGAGGGCAAATGGCAGGAGAAGCTGGAGCTACCTACGGCTCGAGCTGACTGGTTCAGATGCATTATTTATTAATAAAGTCTAGCTCAGGTTACACTGGGGACAGCACCTGGAACTTAGACACACACACACACACACACACACACACACACACACACACACACACACACACACAAACACGCTCTGCACTGCTGAATCCACAGTAAAAACATCACTCTGAGCTCTCTTTTCTGTTTTAATCTGTGTTGTGATCTGTCATTGCTGAGGTGAGAGGCACCTCTCTGTTTCTGAGTGTGACTGACATCGTCTCCTCTGCGCCTTACGTCATTGGTCACACCGCAGCTCTCCAAACAGGAAGTAGTTGTACTACAAAATAAACAAACTACAGATGAGACAGCGAGCCACCACTTGGAGACAAATGTAAAAACACAACTTTAATATCTCACTTTATGGAGTTTCATATTTTTGATATCAATGTTTTGACTTTATCTTCAAACGCTTTTTAACGTCTGGATTTTTTTGTAAATAAACCTGACATTTATTATCAAGTCATTCCAGATAGAAGGGTTGAGTCCGGTCGTTCTTAATGTCATGACTTGTTGTAAAAGTGACGTTTAAGGAGAAGGACAACTGGTAGAGTCGGTCGTCTCTTAACTGGAAGGTCGGGGGTTCGATCCTCAGCTCCTGCAGCCACGTGATGATACTCTGTGATTTCGGTAATTGTTCTTATGTTTATTTTATTAGTCTGATTTTGTTGTCTGCTTGTTTACTCTCTGCTTGTTGATTTAATTGTCGCTCTGCTTTTATTTTCTGTTGTAAAGCAATTTGTGACTTGTATAGAAAAGTGCTATACAAATAAAATATTATTATTATTATTATGTCCGATGTGTCCTTTGGCAAGACACTTAATCCCAGGTTGTTCCCTCTGCTTCATCAGCGGTGTATGAATGTGTATGAATGGATTAGTTACCTCTGATGGACACTTTACACAGCAGCCTCTACCATCAGTAGTCAGAAGACTAGAAGGGCGCAACACAAGCTCAACGATGACTATTTCAGAAGTTGACTTCTTGTGAAGTTTGTCATAACTACAAAATATGTGACATAATAAACTGAAAACTTATCATGATCGTATCTGGTACTTAAGAATTACCAAACTGGTCTTGAAACATAATTATTTATTGGCAAGATTTACTTTCAAAGTCTGACCAGATGTTGAATGTTTACTTTGTGCTCACATGGCCGAGGAGCCGTGCATGTGTCACTCTGTCTGTAACCTTTCCCACTTTAAAGCTACAGTCTGTAACTTTTCCATCTTCAGAATCAGAATCAGAATCAACTTTATTGGCCATGTATGCTTACACACACGAGATCTTAAAATAGTCCTTTCAAAGTCGATCTAGTAGTACAACAACTTTGAACAGGGAGAACAGAGTCAGTCACATGTCCACAGATCACCGTGGTCGCCCGGTTATAGCGCTGTGTTAGTTTGGCAGCGAGCCGCTACTGGCTGAAGCTAAGAGCTAAGCTGAGGCTTAGAGGAAATGGACGGTGACGGATGAAGCTAAGAAGAGAAAAAGAGAGAGAGAGTGAGCGAGCAAGAAGCAGAGTGACCATCCCTGCAGATATTATTCAAAACAGATTGTGAGTAACTTTAGGCTGTGCCGTTATCGTTGTCTCATGTTTAGCAGCTTCACCAGCTGCAGAAAGTCATCGAACCCTAAAGTTATGACTCAGGTTTTTTTTTTTTTGTTTTTTTAAGATTCATTTTTGGGCTTTTTTGTGCCTTTAATGGAGAGACAGGACAGATGATAGAGTTGGAAATCAGGGAGAGAGAGAGTGGGGAATGACATGTGGGAAAGGAGCCTGTTACATGCTGTAGTTTTGTGTGTGTGTTTGTGTTTTCTCTCTCTCCTGTGTGTGCTCCCCAGGTGTTGCTCCTCAGCCTCAGAGTGCCCAGCATCACCTGTGGATAACTACTAATCAGGGGCAAACTATAAAGAGCAGGAGAGGAGGCTGCCAGTTGCCAGTGGGTCGTTGGACGGCGCGTGTCTTTGACGTCGAGAACTTTTGTCTGATCCTTCTGTGGAAGGATTGTGTTCTGATTGAGACCTTGTTGTTTATATCTTGATTGTTAGTTTTTGTGTGTGAGATTGATTGGCTTCTCTTTTGTGTTTTGTGTTTTTTAGAAGAAGCTTGTTTTGTGTTACACATTCTGCTTTAGTTTGTTAATAAATCTAGTTTGACTTTGCTTATATTTAGTTCCTATTTCTTTTCCCTGGGTAATAATTTACTGTTACTCCCCTCATCCCATAGCCATCCTGGGGAACGTAACAGAGCCACAGGCTGAACTCGAACCTGGGCCGCCCGCTTGGAGGACTACAACCTCCATACGTGGGGCGCACGCACCAACCACTGCACCACCAGCGCCACCAAGTCTCAGGTGTAATACAAATGAATCAATAAATCAATCTTACATAAAAAGCTGTCTCCACAACGAGCTGTAGATGCTGGCGGAGTCATATTTGTGCAAAATACAGAAATAGAAACCAAAGACTCATACGAGGTTCAGTACTAACAACACCACACCTCAACATGACAGTACCGTTTCAGTCCTTCATTTCCTGTTTTAGGATTGTTTCCTCCTCTCCTCTCTTCCTTCCTTTTTTCTTCTCCTCTCCATATCTCTGTTCTACAGATTTCTATCCCTGTTGACCGTCCTCTCTTCTCTTTATTTCCTAATGCTCTCAGTATGTTCCTCTTCAACTCTTTCTGTTTTCTCTTTTCTTTCTCTTTTCTCTGCTTTCCTTTTACTTTCATTCACATCCTTTAGGTTTTTATTCTTTCACCCCAAATCATTTCCATTCTTAAACTTTAATTTAACTTTCTCTGTATCATCTCATTTTGACTCCTGCTCTCTAACTGTTATAACTTCTCTGCTTCTCTGTCCACTTGTCTCCTCCCCTCTAATCTACCCGTCTCTCCTCTCCTACCTCCTCCTCTCCTCTCCTTTCCTCGTCTCATCTCCTCCTTTTTAAAGAAATGGACGGAGCACAAAGCGAAAGTGATGCGGTCTCATTCACTGCCTGATTCCCCGTGTGTGTGACCCCCTGGTCACGGGAGCGAGCCGAGAGCAGGGGATTGTGGGATATGCGATGGCTGAGCAGCTGTGATGGGGTCAGGGGGTCAGAAGCCCTGGCGACGGCCCGTTGCCGGGGCAGAGGCGGTGGCGCGGTTGGTTGCTAGGGGCAGTGGCAGTCTTTGTGGAGCTCCCCGATGGAGCATGGAGGTGGGAAAACTGGGGGAAGGGGAAGGAGAGGGAGAGAGAAGAACATAAAGAACGAGGAGAGAAAGAAGTGAACAAAGAGCGATGGGTTAAAAAGCAAGAGGAAGGGTGGGAAAATGAGAGGGGGAGGAAAGAGGGAGAATAAGAAGAAAGGGAAATTAAGCTACACCCTAAAACTACAGAGAGAAGGGCACGATCATACACAACAACAGGGACTAATCAGATACCTGAGAGTCCTGAACGGAGGAGAGAGGAGATGTGAGAAACTCTGGATTCACAGCAGAAGAAGATGTTTGACTTTCACAATAAGAGGATGACTTTACAGGTTTATGGTTTTCACATTAATGTTGGGCAGAGATTACAGACCCCTACATATAACATTTACAAATCTAAGACTAATCTAAATCTAAGAATGTTTCTATAGCACATTTCAACAACAAGACGATTCAAAGTGTTTCACACAAGACATCTAATGGATCATGACAGGAAAGAAAAGAAACATTCAAACAGAACGTGGAAAAGCAGACGCATGGAGTGCTGCATGGGTGTTGACAATTATTTTGGTAATTCATCCTTCTGGTGCTCTTCAGTGCGAGGATCCAACTAAGAAGCTTTTGAAAAAGTCTGAGGCACTCTGAGGGTTCGGCATGAAAAGCCTTTAATTCATCTGGGCTAAAGGTTCATAAACATGTTTCAGCCACATAGGCCTTCATCAGGGCAGGTACAAAATGGCCATCCAAGCTACTTCCTTTAAAGGTTTACAGCCAGTCACATGATCAGCAGCTGTCACATGGCTTAGCAAAAAAAGGGTTACACATTTAAATAAAGTTAAACATCAAAATGTATACATGACACCAAGGTTATGTATATAGAAACATTTAAAAATCACTGAAATGATTCAATCTGAAGATATGTTCAAATAAAAATAATCAAAATGAAATTAATTGAAATAAGAACAAAGACATGACAAACAAAACATCATCATTCACATCAGTCCAACGAATCTGCTGCTGTGTGAATTTCCTTTTTTGAGGTTCAGATTAAAAAGTCGTCGAGATGACCACACTACAGGCCTCACATCCTGCACAAAGAGCTCGATCTTAACCTGCTCTGTGTGCATCAGAGAACTTGTGATTGGATTTACAAAATTGTTTCATGAATCTTTATTTAACACACTTCTCCTCAAACTAAGACCTGTTTACTATCGTGCATTTCCTCCACTTATTTTACATTTAATTTGGATGAAACCTGCAAGTCTTTAAGATCTATAACGTCATAGTTAAAGTTTTTCTTCTTAATGCAGAGTTGCAGTATTTAGGGAACATGCTGATAGACGTGCAGCCGGCTGAGGAGTGAGCAGGACTGACATTTTCTTTTTAAATATTTTTTGGGGGCTTTTTTTGTGCTTTTATTGGAGAGATAGGACAGTGGATAGAGTCTGAAATCACGGAGAGAGAGAGTGGGGGAATGACATGTGGGAAAGGAGCCACAGGTTGGATTTGAACCTGCACCACCAGCGCCACAGGACTGAAACTTTTTTAT